GTGTGTGTGTGTGTGTGTGTATGGACTCAGCAATCTGTGTGTGTATGGACTCAGCACTCTGTGTGTGTGTATGGACTCCGCAGTCGATCAATAATTAAAATTCCTGTGAGTTGTTGTGTAGGAAGGGCCCCAGTGTATTGCTTTGCCCAGGGGCCCTTAACTCTGTTAAAATGGTACTGCTTGTGTGTGTCAGTGAGCTTCTATTTAGTGAGCATGTGTGTGTGTCAGTGAGCTTGTCTTTAGTGAGCTTGTGTGTGTGTCCCTGAACTTCTTTGTAGTGAGCCTTCTGTTTATATAAGTGAGTGTCTGTAGTAAGCTTGTGTGTGAGTCAGGGAGTTTTGTCTGTCAGTAAGCCTATTTGCGCATGTCAGTGAGCTTGCGTGCTCACTGTACTATATATATATATATATATATATATATATATATATATATATATATATATTTTGACTTGTAGGAATGGCATATGTTTTTTTTTTCCTGGGCTGCTTTGGATTCCCAGGGATTCCCAGTTTGGCTCTGCCAGCGAGTGCACTTTACCGCTGAATAATCTGTGTGAGCTGCCGCACACTTTAGCCCTGTTACAGCTGCTGCTGTTGACAGGTACTAGTAGTCTAGAGATTGGGGTATATGCTCAGCTATCTGTATAATACAGATCTGTGTGTATAAAATATCCTGGGATAGTCAGTGCTTCCTGTATAGTGCTGCTCTCTGTCTTGGGATATTATACACAAACAGACCTGTATTATACAGAGAGCAGCACTATACAGGGAGCACTGAGTGTCCCAATTTATTATACACACACAACCCTGTATTACACAGAGAGCACTGACTGTCCAGGGATATTATACCTAGACAGTAATTGATAGCTGTGCTGCAAAATGTCCTTGGAAATTTTTTTTCAAATGTTGGCAACTATGGCACTGTATCAAGGATAATGTGTTTGTTTTTTAATAATCCCTGGTGGAAAATAATGAATCCTCCACCAGGTATTATTAAAAAAACAAAACACATTGTGTCGGGGGCGTGGCTTAACATGCGACAGGGGCGGGGTCAAACTGCGGCGAGGGCGGGGTTAAATGTGCCCCCCTACTTTTGTCACTGACCCTCCATGTGCCCCCCCGAAAAATGAATCCTAGAGACGCCACTGTGTATTAGTTGTGTGTGTATATATATATATATATATATATATATATTTGTGTTCGGAGCAAATAGCCGTATATGGAGTAAGGTTCCAGCATAAATGTAGGATAGTACATCCAATGGTACCCTGCACACACACTTTTAAGTATCAAAAAATGCCGGGTGCAAAAAAGCCATAGCCAATAATTACAAAAAATATACAGGAAATAAGGCTTGCACTCACGGTCTGTAGTAATGATAAAATATTTCTTCTTTATTTCAATATTCTTAAAACATATTCTTAAAACATATCGATGATAACAGATATGTTTTAAGAATATTGAAATAAAGAAGAAATATTTTATCATTACTACAGACCGTGAGTGCAAGCCTTATTTCCTGTATATTTTTTATATATATATATATATATATATAATAGAAAGCGAAGGGAGCACACTAGGACTACTTCTGAGTGGAAAAAAAGTAGTATTTACTGTATTATAAAATAATACATGTCCTGTGCAGAGTACAGAAAATCGACGTTTCGACCCTCCTGGGGTCTTTATTTACTGTATTACTGTATTATAAAATAATACATGTCCTGTGCAGAGTACAGAAAAATCGACGTTTCGACCCTCCTGGGGTCTTTATCTTGATAAAGAGCCCAGGAGGGTCGAAACGTCGATTTTCTGTACTCTGCACAGGACATGTATTATTTTATAATACAGTAAATACTACTTTTTTTCCACTCAGAAGTAGTCCTAGTGTGCTCCCTTCACTTTCTATTATATATTTTACGCGGGATTGCACCTAGGCAATTTTGAATCTGTTTAATTAAGTTCTAGGAGGAGTGCCTTGCTTATCTATTTTTCTGTGTATATATATATATATATATATATATATATATATATACTGTAACGGACCGCTTTGCACACAAGGGGTAAAAACCGTTTAGGCGATCGGCCCCCTTTCCAGAGATGCAGGCACAGCTACTGCAGAACACCAAACTCCTGAACTGGATACAAAATAGCACTCCAACTCCCGAACTGGAACCTCCCAAATAGCTGCTAGCAGATGAACAGGAAAAGCAGACAATCAGCTTACACTCCTGGCAATCAGTCTCTAACAGCATACAGTGAATCCCCCCAATAACGAGACAAGGCTCCGTATTGAGGGTCAAGCAGTGGTCTGAGGTGCTGGCACACCCAGCCTGGTTTTTATTACAGTGTTTCAAATACAGGACCACCCACAGGGAGGGATAAAACAACCAATCATATCACAGTTACATCCCACATATTCCCTCCCCTTATCCTGAGAGGAAACTCAATTATACATAACAGTTAAAACATACTTTCTACCCAACTTTCATAACTCTAAAACCATACATCACATTCACATAAAATTACATATTCACAATCAATCCATTCAGGGGAACAACATATTAAAAAATGGCACAAATCAGACCAGGGGTTCAAAAGTTAGTAAAAAGTCCTTTGTGACTAAATGAAGCATGGCTTTCTGGCCCAAACCAGTTTCAGAGTCTTCTATCCTGGAGATAAGTAATTCAATTATCTCCCAGGACAGACACAAGACTCCATTAAGCACATGGTTGCAAAAAGACACAAAGCACTTTAAAATACATAAAGTCACATTTATACATAAAACACAGACATTTCACATATCCCCAGATAGCTCAGGTCTGAGCGCACATTATTAAGTGAATGGCGCTCGGACCACACAAATACAGTTTAATCACCATGGAGCCAAAGTCTTTACAGTCAGTTTCATACGAATGGGCTCCATGGGATTCCCATCTGGGGTATAACACATTCAAACAAATCTACTGAAACCCAGGCAGAAAAGCACGACTGAAGCTTTTCTGCAGGTAAAAAAGATGTCTTTTAACAGGGGGCCATAGTCCAAAGGCAGCAGGCGAGCAACCAGGCTTCTCCAATGCAATGTGGTGAGATTGGTCTCGTCACATATACCTATTATATTTACACATATTAATGTACATTTATAAATGCATAATACACAGAGAAATTTCATTAATATGTACCATATGTAATGAGCAGATATTGGCCCAGTCTTGTTGCTAGGTGCATACTCCAGCACAATAACATATTTAAAGTGAATAGCACACCCACAGGACTTCAAAATAAAAAAAAATTCAGTTGTGCCCTACATACATTCACCATTTCAGTCCCATTAACAAGCTTTCCTTAATATGTCAAGGTAGTTGGACTGAAACATTGATTACATGCAAAGGCACGTCTGCTTAAAATAAATCTGCACTTTTGTTTATTTTGAAGCCTATGAGTGCGCTTTTTACGTTGAAGTACTTTTTAATTTTAAGTTATCTGTTCTAACTCTGTATCTGCACACTATGCTGGCGCGACGCATTATGGGGCTGGTAAATATTTTTTTTCCAGGGCTGCTTTTAATTCCCAGTCCGGCCCTGAACGCCAAGACCGTAACTTGTTTTTGATTAGTCTAAACTCATTTATAGTGGACACTGGTGTCTTCTTCTTTGCGTTCGCAGTGGCACAAAGAGGTTGTATGTTGTCCTAGGTCAGTGATGGTGAACCTTTTTGAGCCCGGGTGCCCAAACCGCACAACATGCCAACTTTATTTTTCCTCAAAGTGCCAACATAGCAAAAAAAAACAACTCGTACAGTTGTCCGAACGAATTAACAACTTTTGTTTTAAAAAGAAGAACACAACAACAAAGAGTTTACTATTACAAATTTTAAATAATGATATAAATAATAGATAAAATTAAGCTTATATTTATTAGTATCTCCAACAAATGCCATACATACAATACATGCACACAGACTGCTGAACACATTCACACACCGACTGCTGAACACATTCACACACTGACTGCTGAATGCATACACACACCAACACACACACAGACTACTAAATACACGCACACAGTCCGCTGAATACACGCACACAGTGCGCTGAATACACGCACATCGTCCGCTGAATACACACACACACACACAAACATACAAACAGACTGCTGAATACGTACACACAGTCTGCTGAATACACACACACACAGGCTGCTGAATAAACACACTGCTGAATACACACAAACTGCTGAATACATACACTGCTAAATACACACTGGTAAATACACATGGCTAAATACACACTGCTAAATACACATACAGACAGACTGCTGAATACACACACACAGAATGCTGAGTACACACAGAGAGACTGCTGAGTAGACACAGTCTGTTGAATACATACACACAGTCTGCTGAATACATACACAACACACAGTCTGCTGAATACATACACACAAACACAGACTGTTGAATTCACACACACAGTCTGCTGAATATACACACACACAGTAAATACATACAGACTGAGGGGATATGATAACATTATATAAATATATTCGGGGCCAGGACAAACCATTATCTGGAAATCTATTCATAAACAGGGCTATACATAGGACACAAGGTTACACATTTAGGCTGGAATAAAGGAGATTAATCTAAAATAGAGGTGGGCAATCTGTGGCCTTCCAGATGTTTTGGACTACAGCTCCCATAATGCTCTTAGGGCCATAATGCTAGCAAAGCATCAAGGGAGATGTAGTCCAAAACATCTGGAGGGCCGCAGATCTAAGGCAAAGAAAAGTTTTTTTTTACATTAAGAGCAATAATGATATGGAATTCTCTGCCTGAAGAGGTGGTTTTATCAGAGTCCATACAGATGTTTAAACTGCAATTGGATAAATACCTGCAAAAACATAACATACAGGGATATAATTTCTAATTTGTGAGGTAATAGCTGCTTGATCCAATGAGACATCTGACTGCTTTTTTGGGGTCAAGAAGGAATTTTTTTCCTAGATTGTTGCAAAATTGGAAGCGCTTCAGACCCTTGTTTTTTTACCTTATTTGAATCAACAGCAAATACATATGTGAGAAAGGCTGAACTTGTAACTACGTAATTGCTGAATACACACACACACAAACATACTGCATTGAGGTGTGAAGTGTACGTGTTTGTGTGTAAGGATGTGGAGTGTGTGGAGTGCTGTGAGTGAGGGTTGCTGTGTGAGAAAAGTGCTGTGTGTGGTGGGTTGCTGTGTGTGGTGGGTTGCTGTGTGTGAGTGGGAGAGGTGCTATGTGGGGGAGGAGTGCTGTGTGTGGGGTAGAGGTGCTGTGTGTGGGGGAGGGAGTGGTGTTGTGTGTGGGGGGAGGGGTGCTGTGTTTGGGAAGGAGTGATGTGTGTTTGGGGGGAGTGCTGTGTGTGTGGGGGGAAGGGTGCTGTGTTGGGGAGGGGTGCTGTGTGTGTTGGGAGGAGTGCTGTGTGTGGGTTGGAGTGCTGTGTGTGTGTGGGTGATATGTGTCAGGGGGAGGGGTGCTGTGTGGAGGGAGGGGCTGTGTGTGGGGGGTAGGAGTGCTGTGTGGGGTGCAGGAGTGCTGTGTTTAGGGGGCTGCTGTGTGGGAGGGAGGGATGCTGTGTGTGTAGGGGTGCTATGTGTGTGTGTGGGGTGCTATGTGGAGGGAGGAGTGCTGTGTGTGGGGGTAGGGCGTGTGTGTGTGTGGGGGTGCTGTGTGTGTTGGGGTGTAGGGGTGTGTGTGGGGAGGAGTGGTGTGGGGAGGGAAGTTTTGGGGGAGGAGTGCTGTGTGTGGGGGATGATGTGTGTGGAGGGGAGGGAGGGGTGCTGTGTGTGTGGGGGAGGGGTGCTGTGTTGGGGAGGAGTGCTGTGTTGGGGGAGGAGGGCTGTGTGTGGGGGTGCTGTGTTGGGGGAGAAGTGCTGTGTGTGTGGAGGTGCTGTGTTTGTGGGGGGTAGGGGTGGTGTGTTTATTGGGGGGTAGTAAAGATACATTTAAAAAAAAGATTGAAGAATCTTTATCCCGCCCCCTTCCTTCTTCTTACCTTTGGTGAAGGAGGGGGGACACAGCCAGCCCTGGTGGTCTGGTGGTGGCAAGTATGTGTCTTAAAGGCAGCTCTCTTGTCCTCCCGTGCAATGCTGTGTGGAACGTTGCCATGCCAACGCTCCACACAGATTTCTCACGAGAGGACAGGAGAGCTGCCTCCAGGTCCTCCCGACACGAAAGCAGAGTAGTTGCCTGCCGTTTTGCCGACCAGCGCCACACCCCACCCCACCCCCGAGCAACCTATGGCCGCGTGCCCACAGAGAGGGATCGGCGTGCCACCTGTGGCATGTGTGCCATAGGTTCGCCATTACTGTCCTAGGTTATAATTAGAAAGTTCTACTATTATAATTAGAAAGTTCTGTCTGATGTTTTACCTCCATTTGGAAGATATGACTGACACATTTGCAAAAGGACAAATAAAAGACTTACCAAGACACTTTCTTACAAACCGGGGCTGTTTTTCAGGAGGAAGATGAAGGCAAATATAGTAAATGGGTGCTCCAGATAGGACGACGGCAATACCAACCAACGAATCAATAGGATCACTGTATAGAGGAACTATGACCAGGCACACACTGCAAAGGCAGTACACGATAGGAAAAAACAGGCTTAGCTACAAGAAATAGTGAATAAGATTTTAATTCAGATTTTGTTTTTTATTTTAAATTTTGAAGGCAGTTACAATGAGCAGCTAAAGTAAAATAATTTTACCAAGAATATGAGAATTGTTTACTCACTACTGAGATTTGGGAATACATTTGATAATAAAACATTGAAGAAAAGATAGGCGACTAAAATTCATCACTAGTACAGCAGCACAATTAATCCCTACTGCTAAAATCCTTTGTATTCACCTTTTTATTTATAGGACCCCTAAGTCTGTAGGTCTAATATTTTTCATAAAGCACAGGGATGGTACATTATGGAAGGGAAGTGGAAAAAAGGTTGTATATGAAATATGTGGCAAACATGGTACTTAACGGGTAAATTAATAGAACATAGATGTGATAATGCCACGCTTTAATCAATAATCATCATAAGTCTGCACATGGACAAATCTAGTTCAAAGCCAACTGTGGCAGCCTGTCATCCTGGTGTGCCCCCTTCCTAGCCATAGCATATTACTATGCGTTGAATTAAAGGATCACTAAAAAACATAATCTCAATGAAGTGTTCTGGGTGTAGTGATCATATATCCTATTATAGAAACTGCAATGCTTACATTGCAGGATTTAACTGCATTGGCCGAGTAACACAAGAAAGCATTGTATTCAATGCTTTCCTATGTGAAGCATTTGGGTGCCCGTGCTCGAGAGCCAGATGACTTTGAAGAAGGGGGAGTTTCTTGCAGCACTGAGGGAGTCTCTGTGCCAGAGTTCAAGTAAGTAAAATTCTTTTTTTTTTTGTGGGGGGTGGTTACTGGAAATGAGGAGGGGTGACTGAAACAAATGCTAGTTACTTTAGTGTTACTAGTGTTACTTTAACAAAAAATTAGAGTTACATCACTGGCTTGTTCCCATTCTGGCCCTACTCTGACTTATACCAATTTCATGTCTCCAACGTTAAGACGTAAATTATAGGAATGGTCATGTTTGATGTAATAATAACAGTTAACACCCTGCAGCTTTATGGATACATCCTTTAAGAACAACAATCCCATAATATCCTCTGCTACTCTTTAATGTCTCGCTTATTTTGCATTTGCATCTCTGAACAACATTGAATGGGTGGGACATTCCATTTTGGCTTGTTGGCTTGTTATAACACATTATGACATCATTGACCTAATATTCTACATATTCATGTTTGCACAAATAACATTTCATAACAGTGGTGGTGCATGGCATCATTCCTTTGGGGTGAGGATACTTGTGATAGGGATTACTGACATTTTTTTCTTTAGTTTTGGGGTGCAGTTGATTTTAATTGCTGATGGTTGCTGTGATGTATCATGTGTTATTGCTATGGTTACAACTGCCAGTGTAGTATGAGGTCACAATGTCTCAAGCACCATTATTTCTATCTCATCCTTCTGTGTTTGGAATTCTTGTTCTAGAGAAGCCCACAAAGTCAGCAGAATAACTCCATTACAGAGAAGTTGACTACAGTGGCACCACTATCAACCATATTGTTGAACATGGACAAATTTGCAGAGACTCCAAGTGCATATAGAATACTGCATCATAAAAACACAGATTGCTACACAGTCACATACAGCAATGCACAATATAAGGGAAATAACATACCCTCACAGGTCGAGGGATATCTGGTTTCTTGATCCTCAAATAAATTAGGCTACCAACCGAAAGGCCAATAAACAGCCAGTACGTGAAGCTGAAGTAATCAATTAGTTGGAAGACATCTGTCACACAAAGAAATATGAGGGCCATCACTCCCTAAACAATACAGAAAGCAGAATTTTTTTAGTGACAACATTCTGGGTCTATGAACTGATACGCTAAAACAGTCACGGCTATCCTTGGCACTGAAATTGTTTTTAAATAAATTTATATTTCAAATTATAGCCCAGCTGAGCATCATGGGAAATGTTAAAATATGCCAAGAAAAGTCATAATTGCATAATGAAGAAGTTCATTATATATTAGTATTTTTATTTTAACAGTATAAGTGACCAAATTGTCTATTAATCATTTAAAATTGTATATACATTAACAGTTTATAAGAGTGTTATATTTGCATTAAATGTGATTCATGCTGCTGACACAGCACTGGTCTAAAAACAAGCCCACATCATGTAAATTAGTACAAACATTAAATCTGGTCAGGCTTATATTTTTCTAAACCCTTGATGAGTAAATGGAAGATCTTACAGAAAATACAGGTGTAGCTGTTTAAATGATCATTTTGTTTGAATAGTCATTTCAAATGATGATGGTGAGGTGATGTCATATCTTACATTGAATAGTAGTGCCGGTATAGGTGTATATCTAAAGATGTGAATCAGGCACAGAAAGTCTGGTAACTGCCCTTCACGTGATGCTACAAAAAACAACCTGTAATGGAAACATTTCAAGTAAAAGCCATGTGTAACTGTATTTAGGTAACATCACATAGTTTCTTGTTGCTCTATTACAACTCATCTTTATATTTATTTTTAGTTTTTGTAAATCCTTATCTTTTAAGTAATTTGCACCTGATAATTATAATTCTCTGCCATTTAGGAGTTCAAACACTTTGTTTATACAGCCCTACTCACACATTCCAGCATGTAATGTAAAATAGATTCCTAAACACTTCCTGAAAAATAACCTAGATATTCTAGGTTCCTTTACTGCACAGTCTGTTTACTCTAGGATGTCATATCTCCTGCTTAGTTAATAACATTCTAGAGCCTGTATGTGTCTCCCGTGTGTGATTAAAGTTCATTTTACAGGGAAATAAAAAACCTCTTAAGCAAGTTAATATCTGATTGAAAATTAAACCATTTGTTTTATACAGACTGTGTCAGTCACAGCCAGGGTGAGACTAGGGTTGCATAAACAGAAAAAAAAGTGATTTACCTCCTATAGAGCAGTGAGACTGCAGGGGCATGATCTATACACCAATTCTGCTTTATTAAGCTAAAGTTGCTTTGATGCCCTTTAAATCAAGCATGTCAATCTTGCGACCCACAGGCCGTATGTGTCCCACAATGAATTTATTTGCGGCTTACCTGCTCATCTTAAGATAGGATAAGACCTTCCTGTGTAATGTGTTAAATTGGCGAGGGAGGGCAATGTATTAATTTGAGGGAGGGGGTAGTATTTTCATTTGAGGGAGGGGGCCAGTGTATTAATTTTGGGGAGGGAGGGGGCCAGTGTATTAAATTGGGAAGAGGGGCTGTGTATTAATTTGATGGAGGGAGGGAGCCAGTGTATTCATTTGGGGGAGGGAAGGGGCAGTATATTAATTTGGAGAGGGCAGTGTATTCATTTGGGGGAGGGAGGGGCCAGTGTTTTAGATTAAGGGGCAGTGTATTCAATTAGAGTGGAGGGAGGGGGCAGATTAAGGGGCAGTGTATTAGAGTGAAGGGAGGGGGCAGTGTATTTAATTTGAGGGCACTCTATTGGATTTGTGTGCAGTGTATTAGAACGGGGGCAGGGGGCAGTGTATTAAATTGGGTCTGCATGGAGGCACTGAACACTCCCCATGGAGATGCTGATTGGCTGTGCAGCTTTTTGCCCCACATGCACAATAGCCTCCCCATGCTTTCCTATGGAAAAGCATTGGATTGGCTGAGATCATCAAGTTTGATGATCTCAGTCAAAGTGAAGAACACTCATAGGACTTCAAAATCAACAAGATAATGTCATTTGCTTTTTACAGCTGTGCAACAGCATACATTCACCATTTCAGTCCCATTACCAAACTTTTTTTAATATGTCAAGGTAGTAGGAATGAAACATTGGTTATATGCAAATGCACATCTCCTTAAAATAAATGTGCTCTTTTGTTTATTTTGAAGCCCTACGAGCGTGAAGACGTCCAGCATCAATTAGGTGATTTTTTTTTATACTGTACTTTTTGAAATAAACCTATGTTACTATGAAAACTGAAGTTTTTGTTTTTTTGCGGCCCACATAAACTT